TCATGTTATATAACTTAAATATACATACATATATATGTATAAATATACACATTTTTTAAAAGAAGTGGAGAGAAAAGCATATCATTCTCTTGGTCTCTCAGAGTGAGGCAATCATCCAACATAACTTTGGAAAAGGTAAGGAATTTGTCAGATTAAGGTCATTTTGTTGGCTGCTTGCTTTCCTATGCAAAAGCTTGTTAGTCTGATATAATCCACCAGTTTATTTTTGTTTTGCTTCCTTTGCTTTGGTGTCATACAAAAATTCACTGTCTCAATCAATGTCAAAGGGCTTATCCCTTATGCTTTTTTCCAGGAGTTTTACATTTCAGATCTTACATTTAAGTCTTTAATCCATTCGGAGTTGATCTCTCTGAGTGGTGTAACATAGAAGTCCAGTTTCATTCTTTACTCCTTGTTAACTGAATGAGTATTCCACTTACACGTGGATGTAAATCATACACATTGGCTCCAGCCCACCTTCCATTTTATGTTTCAATTCTTTAGGTGGTACAAGGAAATTTTTCATCTTTTTTTTGAGCCCAGCTAAGTCTTTGCATATTTTAGCTAATACTTATGTGTTTGAAATTTACTGCTGTTAAGAGAGTAAATGGTGATATTTAAATGCCATCTTGTCATAAGTTTAATTTCAAAAAATATATCTTGAAAAACATAGATTAGAAGCATTCATATAGAAAGAGTTAAAATGAAAATCAATTGATGAACACGTGAAAAGACTGAAGTCCTTGAAAAAATCTATTTAAGTGAATAGTAACATGAAGCATCATCCATATCTTAAATTGTGGATTAAATCACATGAGCTCCAACAGACAGTGAACAAAACTGCACACTAGTGGCTTTCATTGGCATTGTATTTCATCATAACACAATTGAAAATGGAGAACCATAATTCAACCCAAAGTCCCTCTATCTGAAGAAAAAATGTGCATTGAATATACGGTGTGAAAATTAGAAAGGATGATTATTATTAAGTTGAAAAAAAGATCATGGAGTTTGTATATGTTGACCACAGTTACAATTGATCACAGAGAATAGATCAGATTCTGCTAGGTGAAACATAGAAAAACAACAATTAAGAAACAAAAAACAATCAGTTATTCTAAAAACAAAATACTCCTAATTGTTTGAATTTTATAATATCTTAACTATGTTTTAAAATATGTTACTATACCCAATACATAAAATATATTTTCACATTTAAAATTGGAATCTGGCTTTCTGATATTATTAATTAGATATATGCCCTTGTTTGTAACTTTAATAAAGAAGCCTGGAGTTAAATAAAAAAGAAATGTTTAGATCTGAAATGAGAGTGCATATGAACAGATGGATAAAATGCATGGTGTACACCTGGCCTCACAGGATCAGGGGTTAGCCGTTAAGACATTTTCTCTTCTCCTGTCTTGGTCTTTAAGGTAGTAGATCCACAGCCCAGGGATCAGAATGGCACTAAAGATATTTGTCTAATAAGGAGCTCTGGATATTGATTCCCCAGAGGTACACCTGCTGTTAACAGTCAGCCTGTGGTGGCCTCATTCAACAGCCCTTGCGTACTTAGGAAAGGCACATCTGCACCTCCTCCCAGAGATGCTCCTTCTTGACTGGGAGTCCATTGTCTCACTTGGTCTCCCTGCCTTTCCTAAGGACAGATCTTCCCTCTCCATTATCCAGGTATCATGTCAAGCATCATTCAACACTGATGCCAATCAGGTAACTTACACCCTTAGTTAATGTTTTAGTAATGAGAACAGGTGTTTTACTTCATATTCAACTATGATGAGCAGTGAACAGAGTACATGCATGAAATGTTCTTGACCAAGTGTCCCTTGGGACTCCAGGCAAGCCGTCTTCTGGTTGACAAGTTCTCATGTATGTAATGTATCAGTGCTCACCCGGCTCTCAGTCTGCTGGTCTCCTGCTGTCTCTATAAATGGAAGAGCTTGTTATCCTCCTGAGAAGAAATCTGCCCCTTCTCAAACATGAAGACTGCTACAAAACCTTCTGACATTTACTTCAGTTCTTGTGGGGCTGGTGGGGTCAGCTTTTTCTTTATTTCCATTCCTGGATCTTCAAATACCAGTACACAGAAATGTATCATCACTGTACTTGAGCTGTGAAGATACAGGGGAGGAAGTGGAGACAGAGAGTCTTAGTTGACTGTCTTCCCAGCACACCTGTTTCTCTTCATAAAATTACCACGTATTTAATACAAGACTAGCAGAGATAGTATAATAATTTTTTAAAAAATATGATCATCCTCTAATTCATTCAAAAATTTTAAATGTTGACATTCTACCATATTAACTTCAGGTCTTTTTATAAAGTAATAAAATAATACACATACAAAAGGCATCCTTTTTTTTTTAATGGAGGTACTGGGGCTTTAACCCAGGACCTTGTGCATGCTAAGTATGTGCTCTACCACTGAGCTCTATCCTCCCCCTCCAAAAGGCAGTCTTTTTGTATCCCCCTCAGTTCTCATTCTCCCCTTCCTAGAGACAGCATCCTCAATGCGATGGTATCTCCCATGCATTGCTTCATATGTGTTATAAACATATATAAGATAAAGACATTAACTATAAAATCTGTCAGCTAGGGAATAAAGAAATAAAACATGATCTAACAGTATAATGGAATACTGTGGTAATTAAAACTAAAGAAGGATTAAATATATCAACAACAAAGAAGATAAATTACATAAGAATGCCAATTGCAAATGACATGTAATGTATGGTCCTGATTATATAAAGTTTTCAAAATGAAATACAATGCAATTGTCTATGGAATAATGACACTAATTACAGTAAAAAAAATTGCTGAAGAATAACATATATTTTGTAGGGGTTTGCCCGGGGGAAGGAAAAGAATCAAGAATTGCGAACACATGATGTGCAGTCCTCATATATCTGCATTATTTACTGCAATAAAAACACTCACAATGAGGACAGTGAAGTGTGTGAATTTGATACTGTTGACAGGTTGGGTACCCACCCCTTCCTTTACTATTATCTCTCTCTCTCTTTTTTTTTTTGCTTGAATAGTCCTACAGGTTTATTTTTATAAATAAAAATTTTTAGCTTTGGATTTTTGGATTATTACTTGTAATGGTCCATATATACTTAAAGTTTTCTAATTCTGTAGAGTTTATGTCATTCACGTTTTTTCTATTATGTTTTCATAATGCATATTGATTTGTCTATCCAATCTGTTCTATTATTTAATTCATTTTAATTGCTGTATATTTCATCCTGTGTCCGTAGCTAATGAATGTTTATAGCATTGCTGTCTCCTTCGCAGCTTTTCCATGTGATACTGGATTCAGCTGAAACTTCTGTTCATAAAGCTCTTCCCTGAAATTTACAGTTGTCATGCAAAGAGTATTCTCTCCTCCTATTGTCTTCCTTCAATCTGCTCCATCCCACTGCTTCCTTCTGATAGGTGAAACCTACTAGATGCATTTGTTCATGGTGGGAAAAAAAAATAGGAAAAATCAGTACAAGAAGCTCATATGCTGAGTACTCTACTGAGTGCCTTTTCTCTACTCATTTCTCATCACTGCAACACCCCCGTAATGTTTTATAGTAGTTCCATGGTATGAATGAAGACACTGAAGCTTTCCATACAGTTGAACAATTTCCCACATTCTCAAAGACAGGGCTGGTCCTGGATTAATTTCCAAGTGTTTGGGTCTGAATAATACACTAAATAATAAGCCTACAATTGCTTCTCCTGTCTCCCCCATGCTAGGCGGGACTCCTGCTTTACAGACACCATCTTGTAGGATGTCTGATTATTTTGTAAGTATCATATGCCTGTCTTACCTTGTAATTCTCTGTCTTTCAGGGACCAAAAATTGTTGCTATCTTTTAGAAGACTGTGCATTTAATTCTCTCATTTAGCTAATTTTTAAAAATAATACACCACCTATCACTTTAGGGGAAGAAATCCCATTAGGCTGATAGACTGTCATTAGCATTTGCTCAGCTTCTCTGAAAAATAACTGCTACTACAGATGATGAAGGAAATCAAGGAGCTCAGTTCTGTGGGCAACAGTTTCTAATCTTTGCTTAGAAGATGCAGTGCAGAGCATACACTTGGATGGATGTCATGACCTGCTATGTAATACTTCCTGGGTAGAGATGGACAAATGCTGTAGGCAGGAGAAAGATCTGGAGCATTTTTCAAAATGAAAATATCACAAATTTAAAGGGAAATTATAAAATCTGAGTTTTGGTTTGGGAGTGCTAATTCTGCAGTATCCAGAGGCATTCACAATAATTGGTCGAGGGATTCAGGTCAGCGGTGGGATGATCAGAGCTGGGACTTAATCTTTTCTACACACTGTGTACTTAGTTTCCTTGATATGACCTCACCTTGCCTAAGTGTC